CCACAAACTGACACAGCTTATCTTTTGTTTCCAATAAGAAGAGCAACAGATTTCCCTATAAACCCAACTCTTCAGCTCTGGAAGTAGCATCAGCTTCTTTCCCTCTGTTACAAACTTCCCTCCTCCGTTCTTTGTTCAGCCCTTATCTTGTTTCTTACCTTTCCTCTTCCCCCCAGTTTTTCCTCTGAAGCAGCTGTGCCCTCTATAGCCGGCATCTTCAGAGTTCAGATGTGTCTAACCATCCTTTGTGTCAAGTGCCACAGCCACTCCTTTGAAATACCATGAAAGCCAGACAATCCTTCAGCTAATCTGAACCTTGAAGGTTCTGGCTGCACAGGTCATCCAGGAAGTGCACTGCTACATCCCAGGGACAGACAGAAGCCAAGGTAAAAAATAAAACCCACCCCAAAATAAAACAGACGCACACAGGGGTAGGGAACACAGTGAGAACAGAAAAGAGAGAGGAAAGAAGAGGTGAAGAAAAACAGCAACACAAGAGACCTACTGGCTTTAAAAAAAAAAAGTTAACTTCTGGTCATACCTCGTAAGATCCTGTTTTGATTCATACTAACAGAATACTGAAAGTATGAACCGGTGCTCAAAATAACAAAGCTAAAGTTCACCATCTGTGCTATTCTGCTAGAGAAAGTTAAAAGAGCAACAATCAGCATTTAATTCCTGGCTTGTATTTTACATATGGAACTTGCATTCATTTTATGCAATGAAACTATAGGAAGACAAATCACAATGGACTACTGGTTATTTATTAGGACGCCTGTATCACTCCATTTCGTTACAGAAAAAAGTCTTTTAAAAAAAATATAGTAGTATTTCCATAAGTGGAATAAGTATCTTTTTTATAATTCCTCACTTAAGGACCTCTAGTAATTTTGATCAGCTTGGAAGCCAGACTCCCAACCAGTCAAATAGTTTTACCTGACTAAAGTCCACACAAATTGACATTTGGAGGACATGTTCTGGTTTTCACAGTTAAAATTACTGTGCAGTGTTTATATACTATTTAAAAACAAAAGCAAAAAGTAGCTCCACATTTGCTGCTAAATATTAATGGATGAATACACAGGTCTCTCCTGCTGCTTATAATTGCTCCAGAGTCCTCAGAGTGAGAAATCAAGATTCCTATTTCCTTTTTTAAATGTCAGTGTACATTTTTCCCTCCCCCTCTTACCCTGCCTCCAAAAGACTCCTTTTTCCATACAAGTTTATGCCCTAATAAGAAAACCGGACATACTAGGGAAGACAGAGATGACAAAGTATCAAAACGCACAATCCCCCTCTTTGTTAGCCTTGCAGAAAGACTTTAAAAAAAAAAAAAAAAAAACACCAAACAGGATGAAGACTGAAGACAATAGAGGGACCTTTATAAACAGGGACCAGAGCAGAGATGCAAGAATTCCAATGAGATCTTTAAAATGGATCAGTAAAGTAAATAAAGTATACTCGGGCATACCTCTTTTATCCAAAAAGTTCCACAACACACGATGAAAATTAAGGATACTCATGACATACATCCAGAAAACCTGTAATCTCAGAACTCAACAAGCAGCAATTTAGGCAGATAATTTTCTCCTTCCCCACTCATATTCAATCACAATTATAGCACCTCTACATCGACCCATTTCCCCCATCCTTTCCTGCTAAACAAACCTTCAACGTAACACAACCAGGGACTACATATTCTGGACGTACATATACAATACACCAACCCCAAGCATGAGTTTCTTCACCTTTTTGACGTGTGTGCTGGAACACGTCAGCCACGCAGTTATGCAAAGAGTGGTTAGTATTTTAACTATTGTTTCTGTCTTCACACAAGAGTCTATCACCTCACTGTGATTAGAGTAACAGCACCAAGCGCTGCCAATGGGGAAAAGGGGGGGAAAAAAAAAATTCATTCATGAATTCTTCTATTTCTGCCTGGTTGAGGTCAGACATGTCATGGAGATGACTCTGGCCCCTGCACAAACAAACATCTGTGCTACTGGAAGTAGAGCTTCCTTTAAGCGACTGACTTACAGAACTGCCAAGAGCTCTCGGCCAGGCAGCGATGTTTAATTTCATTTCTCCATTTGTATTTTTAATCTTGGAAACAAAAACAGAAATGTAAAGCATGCTGACAGAAGAAAACAACCCCACAATTCTAGAAAGCCCTGCTATTTCCCTGCCAGGCCAAAACACCTGCTCCTGCTAATGACGGCTTTATGCTTATATACACCTGCCATCCAGAAGGGCTCCAGAGCACTTTGCAGCCTGATTTATAAATACACAAATCATTAAAACCACCAAAACTAAGCCACTGCTGGGGTAAGATGTAGCAACTGTTTAACTGCACACAGCCATGCTGTTCAACTGCTCAGGACGTGAACTAAGAGACACCATATCCAACCAAAGCTATGGGGGAACGTTAGGTAGAGAGAACATCATTGCCCAATCTGGATTTCGTCCAGTCACTACTTAAAATATTTGCATGTGGGAAGCCCTAGGATCTTTAAAGAACACATGCAGTGCAACCTTCAGTTTTATAAATGATCCAAAAGACAAACAATATACATTTCCTATATCTAAAATCCTCCTTTAGCAGTCCCTCCCTGCAGTAATTACTGTTTATGCCTTAACTTCAGAAGCTCATAGTATCAGACATCAGTTTTGGAAACATCCTGTGGTTGAAGCACTTGATCTTGCAGAGCCAGCAAACTGATAGAGTCTGGCAATAAACGTAGATGATTAAAAAAAAAAACAAAAAAAAAAACCAAAACAAAACCAAAACCCCAACCCTTTGGAAAACACGTGCACACGAGTACATCAGTTCCCCCCACGGGCACCCCCAGTCAAAAGAACAGAATTTGTCAGCTAATCCCGAAACAGCTACAAAAAAGAAGAGTAACGGAGCTGACGCACTGGCAAGCTGAGGAGAGAGAGCACTGCTTTCTAAAATCCTCCTCGTATGGACAACACCAAATTAACAGTTGCAAAGTCAATGAAGTGGAATGAAATAGGTGTCACCGCACATACCAAGAAGGCAAAAAGGCACTGGGGAACAGGTTAAAAAGATTAGGAAACCTGGCATCCAAAAAAAGCCAAGATACGTTTAACAGTTTGGGCATTTGGCCACAAATTTTCAGTCTCAAATATGCAGAACATGCAGAGTAACATTTTGGAAATGGAAATGTGTTCAGCAGATAATCTCATCATAATATTATCAGCAAACCATCAGAGATAATAATCTGTTTCTCTAAGGTAATTAAAAAAAAAATCTGATCAGAAGATCAGGGCATCTTTTACGAAGACCTCCTCCAGAGGCTTCCTTACTTGAAAGTAGCTTTACCGTAATCCTAGAAACAATGAAAATTCAATTCTCAAGAGTAAATACACACAAGCTTGAAATACAACATGACTGTTTTAAAGTTTCAAACACATCTGCCTCGGAATCATCCTGACAATACAATTCCATTTTCACACTTTTTAAAAGAAATGTTTCTCCCCCAGGTTTTTGTACAGTGCTCCTCAAAATAACAAAATATTTTTTTTAAGCTACAGGTAAGTGCAGAAAGAATTGTAACAACAGACGGTTAAAAAAAAAAACTCAGCCTAAAAACATCATTTAAAACTAAAAACATATCTCTGATTTGAGGAGTTTCTAGATTCATAAACGGGAATGGGAAGCATAATTCTGTGTTTCTTTCTCCTATTTTACCCAAACACAACATAATTCTCAAACACTTTATCAGAACAAGGTAGCCTGGGTACACCAGAACTATTGAATAAGTTATTTAAGATAATGAGTGGAAAGGCATTTCTAACTGAAATAAACCAGAACAAAAAATACAGAAGAAACTTCATCAAAACACTTTTACATCAAGCATCAGACAATTTGCTAAACTAAGCTGCATATCCAGCTGTTAGAAATATATGTTTCCACCCTTTTAAAACACGGATTATCAACATGTTTTCTAAATTCTTAGAAATTTCTTATTGTTGCAGAAGAACCATCAGCCTTTATCAAGGTTATGATAACGTATTTCCATTTTCTTCCAGAAATAATTATGCTACACCTTTGCACCTTCAGGCAAGTTGTTGCAAACCCTCGAGAAAAATCCTGAGTCTGCAAAACCATGCAAGCTTCCCTACTGCTGGAGCACACAGATTCTGTTTTTGGTCCAAAATAATGACGATATTGTGGAAAGTACCTAACACCGCTCTCTCCTTTCCAAGAAACGATTGCAAAGAAACAGGTAAGTCAAGTACCTTATAGGAGTAATGCTGTAGTACTTGAAAACAAACACCCCCTGCCTCCCCAAAAAAGAACAAACCCACTGTTTTGGGAATAAAACATTTAAGAATGCAAAAAGCGTAACAGTACACGACTATGTTATTTCAGTTTTGCCACCCAGTAAAGAATAAAGACTTTTTATAAAAATCCAATGCCATTAGTGGTACAACAGAAATGCACAGAGCGCACAAACTCAAGGCTATTCTTCCCGTCTAGGACACTGGTACCAAGAGCGGAGTTCAGGCACAAACAAAACAGCACATTCTCTAGCAAGTCTCTGCAAGAGCACAGCATTGCTCACAAAATACAGGCATATTTTTCACCGTTCAAATGAAGATTCACCTCAAGACAATTCTACCTTCTAATATAAAAAGAAAAGCTACAGACCTATATATAAAACAAAATATGCTGCGGCTTAACCTTTAACACTCTAAGTAGCATCTCCTTCAGTTGCCACCTTTATCATCATTTTCAAAGCAGTTGACGCAGTTTTCAGTGAACACACACACACACACATGCACGCACACAAAGAAAACCCCTTATATGTGCGTTTTCTCCAACTTGAGAGAAAGTCACGCATGCTCCTCATATGCTGTTTCCCATCAGGGTGAACTGGAAAATAACGGACTATTTGAAGATATGCTGCTAAAGGACAGATCACCACGTGAGAGAAAGCAGATCTACTGTCCTCAAGGGAAGAGACACTTACCTCGTTTGTGAAGCCACCCTTCCTTCACTATTGCTACTTCATTCATAATGGCAGGAATGTCTCTTGAAAAACCAGTTTATGCCAAAAGATCACTCTGTTGAAATTCCTGAACTCCCGCAGAAGGCTCCACAAAAGGGATGGTTTTTTTTTTCCGTTTTTCTCCTTCTCAGCTATTTCTAAAAGGATCAAAAGAAGAGTGCACCATCATTTTGAAGCATGTCACATATGTACAGTAAGGGATAAAACAGGGAGTAGCTTTCATTGCTGGGCTGTTGGGTTTGTTTGGTTTTTTTTATTATTATTATTACAAATCCTAAATGAGGGCTTTGCTCTTCACAAGGATTTTTACATCTCGGCAGGTGGAGGTGCCAAAATATGTGCTTGCTAAAGTCCTGATTCTTCACTGACCGGCTTGATTGTGGGCAGTCACAACATCACCAGACACCGTCTGGATTAGAGGTGGATGCAAGACCTTGCCCAGTAGACCTCCGTATCTCCAACAACACCTCACTCTCCACAACAATAAAAATTCCGAGATTTCATGAAGTCCAGGCTTAAATATTTCCTGTAAGAAGACTTCCAGAACATCTTCTGGAAGGTTTCTTTACAGCCTGATGTAGAGCACTCTATCAAATAACACACAGTGCATCTTAGAGATGCACTAACAGTAAAAATTCCTAATACTCTCCTTCAAATTTTCATAGCTTCAGCATCATCCTGTTAATCCCACTCAGATCTCCTCAACTCCCCCAAAACGTGTCTTCTCTATCTTGGATATTTATAACTCCTGCCTCTCCTAGAGGTATACAAAGAATCTCAGATAAGCTCACGGACCTTTCTGTTATCCTAAATCAGCCCTTATGGCACCCTGATCAATTTTATTGCTCTTCCCTGAACACATCGCAGTTTTCTGCTGTCTTTCTGACAGTGAATTACACCTAAGCACAACTTAGGATTTTTACCCCTCTGCTTTATGAGATGAAGTCCCTATCTAAATAGCTCAAAACTGCCGTATCTTATTGAAAATGTGTCTAGCTAATGGCTGACTACTACAGAAATGTTCTTCACATTTCTCTCCCTCAATGAAAGTAATCTCTTCCCAAATGCATTAGCTTTTATTATTTTTCTAAATTGAATCGGATCATTTTTCTGCTTGTGGTACAAATATTGTTTGTTTTTCTTTAATGACTTCTGTTCTCTCTGAAGTGTCCATACTGCCACTCAATCTGTTATTACTTGGGTGACCAAAAAATGCCATTGGTGACAAATTCCCAGCAATAACTAAGAAGTTTAATAAACCAGAACCCAGCAGCATTTGTAACGCATCACCAAAGACCTAGCTTTTACTGGAGTCTCTCTCAAGCCACAGAGACATCACATTCCCACCTAACAAATATATACCATCTCTGCATGCATTTGGCACACACGCATCAATTATCTCTGAACATGCAGGTGATAGCCATCCGTCAGAAACTAGATTAAAAAGCAACTAATTCCCCATAACTCACTAAGACACAGCCCTGGATGGAAGAAACAGGTGGTCAAAATGAATCCAACCTAGAAATGAAACAGAGGGCTCTGTACATCGCCGTGTTCTGAAGCAGGCAGCCTTCAAAGCAAGGAGGTCAAACTTGAACAAGTTCCATCACTGCAAGCAGAAATGGACTGGAAGAAAGGAGGTCACTCCCCTGATACCTTGCCTATGAACTTCCACTGTTTATCACTATTCTTCAGCTTTTCCAGTAACACTTTATCTTCTAGTTTTTCCCCAGAAACAAGCTAGGGTTTTTTTACCAAATTACAAATCTGCCATATCTCACTGGTTATAATTATCAGCTCCAAGAAACAGATAAGTCATTTGCCTCAGGGAGGGAAAAAACACAAAAAATGACATTGGAACAAGAGACGTGTAAGAATTCCTTAATTTCATAAATAAATATGAGAACACCATGTACTGCAGAATAGGGACCAGTAACCCACAGCTGCCAGAGTTACCTTGGAACAAACTCCTTTAGCTCCAGAGCAATTAGGATAGAACCTGACGAACACGGCAGGCTTTCGTTCTCCTTTCAAAAATGCATGCGCAACAGCCATGCGAGCTAGACTTACTTGTTGATGTAAAGAGGAAACTATACCTTGTTTAGAGGCTTGGATTAAGCATCTAGCAATTTGCAAACTGTTGAACAAAACGCCTAAGATTATCACAGTTTACGTCTGAAAATGCAACACCCAGGTGTGAAAGTTAACGCTTCTAGCGTTGTGCCCTAAGACAACACGGGGACTGTGCAATCTACCTCTCCGTCTTGAATTCAACAATTTAGCTGCACTGAATGATCAATATCCTTTTCAATAACCAGATGTAAAAAAGAGAGCTACAAGCCAAACTAGTCTGTAGAAAGGACAATCCTATTATTAAAAATAGAAGAAAGTGCAAAGGTCCAAAATTCTGCAATCTGCAGCTAACTTACTCCAGGTTTTTCTGGGTTAATGCTTCCCAAGATTACCACTTGGCAGACTCTGGCTTGTCATCGGCTAAACTGTCATCTCATAATCTGAATTTTAATGACAATACAGCCCAAAAAAACAGATCAAAGAAATCAACAAACAAAGGAATCCAAAGTTCAGAGGAACTACTTTTTCTACTCTTCGTGGTGTCCAAAGAGTTTGGACTGCCTTTTCCCTACAATTTCTCCGCAAGAAACATTCCCCACCTGCTACTGCAGCCCTGCTGTCAGGGATGTGTCTTTACCTGCCCATCTCCTTCAAGGGAAGAGGGGTGGGGAAGGGGGTAGCAGGTATTGTAAAGGAGCCATGCACAGAAGATGGGGTAGCACGGTACAATGAAGTGGGAAAACACTGAGCATTCCCTGACACCAACCTGCAGCATGGGCTCCACCTCAGTCCTTCAATCAGCTATGCCAGAGCGCTTATTTTATAAGGGGAACTTAAGTTAATTTTTCTTCACAGTGTGAAAGGCTGGGAATCCCTTCTCACTGTCCAACAAGATAGACACATAGACACAGCTTCAACAGAAGCAAACCCACTCTAGCTGGTATATTTTAAAACACACATTCAAGCTGTGCCTAATGTATCTACTTTAGTAAAAGACGCTATTGAAGACAATGGCAGCAAGTAAGAGTAATTTCTCGGAATAGAAGAGCCAGTTAACTACAGGTCAACGTACTACTGAAGATGCGTAAACCAGAGAAAGTTCCTTTTCCATAAAATCCTTGGAGGGGGGGTAGCAGGGGAAGGAATGATTACAGTCCTCATTTACGGCCATCTAGGAATGGTTCCCGGTGAACAGAAGGCATCTCAAGAAACTGTGACCTGGCTGCTCCAGCCTGTGTCTGCACATGACTGAACACTGTCAAAAGCTAAACAACTCCGTCTTTCTCTTAGCCTTCTGTTTGCTTGTTTTTCAATATGCGTTTCTGTTATACCTTTTTCAATACCAAAGTACTCCTCATGTGGCTGAAGCGCAGTGAATCATGAATGGCATGACATCAGCATCCTATCACGATGACGCTGGTTTTACGCATGTATTAATTCCTTAAAGGTTATTAACTTCTTCATAAATAATGAGATAACTCACTTCCCTAGGCACTGCAGCAGCGAAACCTGCTTTAAGGAGTCAGTCAAACCAACTGTCCAACAGAAGGTGGAGCAGAACCGCCTTTTCCGTATTTAGGAGAGTCGTGTTAGAGCTCCTCTCATTCTCCTCCACTTACTATGCTCACCTTCTTTTGTCTCTACAAGATCAAGACATAAATCTGTCCTCCTTGCCCTCTTTCCAAGATGAGATTTTATATTCGTTTCTACTCACACCCTAAAGCAGAGCAGGAAAAAAAAAGGAATTCTTCCGTAACACTGAAACCTCAGCTTACGGGATGCAGGAGCATTTACAGTAATTACCTTGCCTATAAGGGAAGAGTAAGCAAGAGACTGAAGGAGGATCAGACCCACCAACCTCAGTCCTGCCATGCCTCACCTGGCACATCAGACTGCATCTAGGCTGTACTAGTTAGCCCAGATCAGAAAGCAGGTCACAGCAAAGCATGCTCCTGGACTAACACTTTGCCCTTCACACCACCAGTTACCGATGATGCCCACTGCCCTGCTGTGGCACAGTCCTGATGCTCCCAGGACACCCTGAGCCCTAATGTGCTACACATCCTTACGTGTTCTTATAACGCACAACAGCAGGACCAGGCGAAAAAGGATCCAGCTGCCCCTATTTGCCTACCTTGGCCACATGACACCATCACCACAGTAGATGAGACACACAGGAACTGGAGGGGGGCAGAAGGGGGTGTGCTTGGGCCCATTACATGGGATATCATGAGCAACCTAACCTCCCTTCCCGCAGTAGATCCCAGTGTAAGCTCACAGCTGACAGCCAACTGCACCTGAACGGCACAGACCCAACAAAGCTGGGTTCCAGCCAGCGTTTCAAGTGGAGCGTACAGATAGGTGTCCCCACCAGGCTTTGACCAGTGAAGTACATCTCCTGCATTATGCAAATCCTGCCCTGGGTGTTTCACGGGAGTGACAGCGGTTCCAGCACGCTGAAGGCCCTCTAAGCACACAGCAGTAGCTTCGCACCATGACCCAGTTACCAAATCTGGGCAGATACCTTTCACGAAAGCTTAGAGGGACCAGGTTTTCCAGCATCTTACGCTTACTTTACAAAAACGCATTGTGGGCCGTGAGTTAGGTGTGGTCGCTAGTATTTGCTACTCTATGTTGTGTGTCAGATGACACCACGTCTAAACTGGTATTTCATGGCTGCACGTGCAGGTTATCCTAAGGTTCAGAAAGGCTTCTCTGATACTAAGAGCTATAGGAAAAATGGTAAGTGGAGAATAAAAAAATCTCTAAAGCCGCATCCACTTTTCCTTCAATCGGTTAGCCTAATCTAGGTTTACAAAACTGTAATTTGACATGCTTGTGCCCTCATGTCTTTGCTGATCAATAGACAGGAGGTTAATATTGTTCAGGTGAGGGGCCAGAGTTACGACATCCAGCTGTCCAAGCTGCAACCACAACT